CCTAGTACTGACTTCACAACATATCCTTACTACTTTAGTATTTAATTCAATTTCTACTAAGCTGCCATTTCAAATAGTCTAAAAAGGTAGAACGAGACTATACCTCTGGTTTACATATTTGCCAGCATGTACTTTTTTCTCTGAAATCTGGAAATTCTGATGACCTGGTTGGTTCATCTGGTTCCTTCTCAAAGACTGACACATTTGCCTAGTTTCATAAGTTCTAGCTCTGTTTCATAAGTCTAGTCTTTACAGTAACATTATCAAAGATTCAGGTTATCTCTCTACTCAGGTCTTCCAAGTAAGCTTCTGTCTTCCTATCTAGTTCTTATGATTTACATAGCCTAAGGACTTATCTTGGGTTTATACCATCCAGTACCAGTTTGTGTTTCCTCGTATAATGTTGTATGAGTGCCTAGACTTTTTAGTTATTCTGATATAACACAGATTATAGGTATCTTATCCCAACTAATCACTGAAAACAGTTAGCCATAACACAGAAAGAATTGCAAATTTTCACTATCACTAGGATTTGAACTTTAGACCTGCCATTTGGAGGTTGACAACCTATCTACTTCATTAGGTTACCACATCTTTAATATATATATATATATATTATAGTATATAGTAGTTAGATAAAAAATCTTAATTAATTATTAGAACTGTAATAATATTAAGTAATATCTATGATATTATTATTGTTATGCTAACTTAAGTAACTTTATATTCTAATATAAAATTATTATACATGAAAAAATTCTGTGTCAGGTTGATGGCACAGCAAAATTATTTAATATTCATTAATATTCAGATTAGTGTTTAAAATAAAGTTAAATACTAAATAATTATATAATAAAATTGCTCAAAAAAAACCTTCTATAAGAGTACTAAAAATGGTTTTTTATATAATTTTCAAGAAATAAGCAATCTTTGACAAAATAAATATTTGGTTTAAACTTTTCTGATTGTGTTATATTATATCAGATCTTTGAAATATAATTTGTAGATTGACAATCTGTGTCATATTGATTGACAAAACCTGATACAGAATTTTTTTGTATAATTATTATGTTAAATATTATGCTATAAGAATCTTAAATATCTTTTATATAATTTCCAAATATTTTTATACAATTTTAAATATTTTTATACAGACTCTAGTACTTTAATATATGCTTTAAATGTTTCAAGCACAAATAATAAATACTTATAAATATTATTCTAACTATTTTTATACAAATTTCACTTGAAAATAATGATCATAGTATAGTGGTTAAGTTGTCATCCCCAAGTAACAGATCTAGTGTTCAAATCCCACCTATAACAAAATTTGAAAAATTATACCTATATTACTGCAAACTGTCTCTTAATAATTAGTTAGATTAGTGTATCTGTAACCTTAAGTCACACCATCTTAAATAAAAACTCAGAACATTTATGCAAAGTATAATGTTATATATATATAGAGGAATATATAACTAGTGTCATATAAAGCTTTAGTGCAAACCCATAATAAGACTATCAGACATAGTAAACTAAGAAACCAATGAGTCAAAAGCCTACTTAGAAATTTCTAAGTAAAAAGATAGCATAAACTTTTGACAGTATGGTTAGACTGATAAAAACCTATGAAACACCTCCAAAGAGATAAGTAAATAAACTGAATAACAAGATATATAGAAAAACATATAACTAACCAGGCTACCAGAATTGTCAGAGAAAAAAAATTACATAAATATACTATACCAGGCTATCTGAATTGAAAGTTAGAAAAGTCTTGTCAGTCCTAAGTAGCAGTTAGTAAAGGATGATAAAGAAGATATCATAATGATAGGTACTGAAGTTCTAGTAAATTTTACAAAGGTAAAAATAGTATAACATAGTAGTTAAACAGGTAACCTCTGTAACTGCAAGTATTAAACAACTATAGTAAGTTACATAAAACTAGATCAGCTGTATATGAGACATGAAAGTTTCTAGTAAGTTTCCTGTTAAGAATAAACTAGTTATAAGAGGCCTTAAAGGTATTAGATACTTTAAATAGGTGTAACCTTAATGATGTTACTATGAGACATAGTGGACTACATATACAGAGAGTTTAAATAGATAAGACCCATAGTTGGCTTGCATATATGACATCTAGTGTAGAATCTGTATAGTAATGTATAGGCAGACTACTTAAATTAGGCACCAAAAATGCAGATATAACTAGTTGTAACCTTCAATGTAAAGGAGCCTCTAAAGGCACCTGTGTTTAAATACATGAATAAAAACATCAATCTCTATAGGCAGGAACTTTAATTGTAAAAAAAAAATAAACAAAATTTACTTATTTTTGTTCAAATTTCTACTATTTTTACTAGATAAAAAAAATATATAAAAAGTATTTTTTTCTTCTTTCTAAACAATTTTAATTTTTTATATTTCAATCTAAACATAATGATCTTTTAATTATTAGATATGATATTTATTTTCTAAAGCAATTTTTACAATCAACTATTTGTCTGATATTATGTAGCAAAATAAACTACTACACCTTTGCTTTATATATATTTGCAATAATTAATCACTATACTAGATACTTTTGTTACTTAGTTGTATTGTACCAAGAAGACTACAACTCTGTAACAATATAATCTATAAACAAACATATATATATATATCTTAAATAATTAAAATACTAATAAACATATAATACTATATATTTTTTTATTTATCTAACAAAATTGTATAATAAACACATGACTGTAAAGCGGACAAAAATCTTGCATTTAGAAAGATAAAAATCTATAAATATTATATAAGTTAAGTACAAACAAGGTTATGCGTCTTTTATATACTATGCATTAAAAAAATATGTATTTAGAAAGAGTTGACTGTATTATATTTTATTTAAACTATAGTTTAGTCTAACTTTAAATTATAACTTTTGTTAATTTTTAACAAAATTTTTGTTAAAAGTTGTTATAAAACTATAGTTTAAAAAAAATAAAATACATTTAAAAAATATAAATCAATAATTATCATATTTGACTTTAACTATGTTTTGATTAATTAGCTGATTGAATGGCACCAATTTAGTGCAAAATCACAAATATTAATTCTAGTAAAACTGATGGCTGTCTAAAATTTGATTGGTTGTTATATTAAATTTCACCAGCTTCACCATTATTAACTAAGAGGTTCATCAGTTTCACCAGCAACTCTAGTTATGTGGCTGATCTAGTCGAACTTATTGTTTGTGACTTATTGGTACCAATCGATTCATCTCGGTTCTGCACAATAAATTTTAACTGAAAAATTAATACTGATAACGCCTAACAATTGGTCCGGCACCCTTATATAGAACTGTAAGCGTTGCACAGTAATTATTGGGTAAAAAAATTTTTATAAACATACGACGCTGTTCTTTTTTGAAATTCTATATAAACTATTACTTTTGAGACAATATCTCGTGACCCATCGATCAGAATTGGTATGCACCAAATCTCACCAGCACAACTTGGAAACTTCTTATGTGCTGCAACTATTTACAAAATGTGCGCAAAATTTGGTCTTTAGCTACAGATTTTCGATTATTGAAATGAAAAAGTTAAAAAGTTAATTCTGGCCAAAATTTGTAGATCTCGGCCGTTAGTCAATCAAAATCGAGAACCTACCATGACAATATTGTTGTTGCAGCTATGGTTAATTTATAACAACTGGGCATTGCGTCATTCAGAATGGGGCTATCAATTTAGAGTTTGAAAGTCAACAGATCGAAAAGTTTGCTAAGTAGTAATATGCCAGAACCAACCCAACGAACAGATAAGTTAGTGGCATGAGGAAGCACATGCTTTCAGATAAGTACGTACGTATAATTTCAATCAGCTGCTCATTTTTGAATTATTAAATAATTGTCACGGATGATCCTGAAATCTGGAGTCTCGATTTTAAAATATAAGCACTGCACTGCTAAAATCCACATATACTTTTTAATCATAAATTCTAACCCTAAATCCTAACCTAACCCTAAAAAAAAGGCGGCAAAAAACGTCCCCAAAAAATTTTAACATTTCATATAAAAATAGATCAATAATTTAACACCATTACCGAGTTGAATATAAAAATTAGTCGCCACAGTCAGATAGCATCCCACCAAAAGCAAGAAGCGAGATTCGCCCACCCACCCATTTCTAGCCAGAATCCTGCGATTATATGGTATCTTTAAACTTCATGTCAAGTCGTCTGTATTCTAAAGTTATTAGTAAATAACTAGTTACACTGAAAATTCAAACCGATTACCGTAAATGGCCATATAGGCGACCCGGGTATGTTACATTCCACTGGTTAAAAAACTTGAATTATACATAGTAATGGGTGGATTTCTTATTAAATATAAATTACTAATTAAGAGACCCCGGGTCTCTTACATTTCGCTAAATTCTTAACCCTGATCTAGACCCGGATGGCCATTTACGGTAGTTGTCAACTTTTCGATTAATCGAGTTTCGATTCGTATATTTGTATCGTTACTAACGGGTACCCGTCAATTGAGACTTAGAATCGGTCGATTCTAAAAAAGCATGGAATTAGAACACTAAAATATCGTTATTGGGCTAGAGTAAATTGCAATACGAATTTTTATTAATTATATAAAAATATATATTTGAGATGATTTCATTGTTTCTTGCTTTTTTATTTACCGCATAGGATATAACATGTCACTAAATTGGTAACGCGTAAAGTTCCAAGAGGTTAAATAACGTTTCAATAAGCGATTACATTTTCATACAGTAAGTCAAATTCTTTGTAGATTTCGAATACAAAATATTAGATATCGAAAGCAAGTTATAATACAGAAAATTTCATGATGTCTTTGTAGAGGTATTAAAATTTAGTATTGAAGAGTTCATCTTTGGTTCAGTTAAACACTGCTGGTAGGAAAAAAAAAAAGAAAAAGAAATTCATGTGCCATTTTTTTTAAATACAGTAGAATAAATGCTTCACCGAAATAATTGTTAAACATCTACATCTCTAAAAAGTTCACCATCTTCCAACATTTCCCATTCCTCATCATCCAAAGGAGATCTGTCATTTTTAGAATTGTTACCACCTCTTATCCCACCCGATCTGAGACGATTTTTTTTTCGTTTATTATGTCTAATTTTAGGGAAAAGCCAAGTAGTTCTGCAACAAAACTTTAATAAATCCCTACCAACGCAAGTGCCACAACAAAATATCCAACATATACCACTAAAAAATATGAGCACCATGAAAAAGATTAGTAAATAAAGTAACGGACCATCATCAGTTTGTTGTGTTGTGATAGAGGATATAAATCTTGAACGAATCATATTTATTGAAAGATTTGAGAAATAAAAGTAGAATGTTTATTTTTTTAATAACTTTCCAGGAAAATTATAATAAATATGAGTATATAGTAACAAATAGAGTAACTTAAAGAAAGAGTAACGGTACGTAAACCAATTTTTAAGTCAGCATGAATAAAAGTTTCGAGTAACACGAAATTTACTGTTTAATATCGATATGTAGTGTGTAACGCTAAGCTGTAATACATATTGGTGAGTACAGGAGTAGGTACGCACAATGTCAATATACATGATACGATAATTCTACATGATATCTATGTCTTTATTATTAAATAGTCTTTTTTACAACTAGATCGAGCTTCCTTTCCATTATATCAATTTCCTTCTTAAAAACGACGCATTTCACACCAATTTCGCAATCATCACCAAAAGCAATCATACTCAATAAATCATCTCTCATTTCACAAATTCTATCTTTTAATTCCATTCTTAATACCCATTTCTCACCTAATCTTCTAAAACTTTCATTTAATCCAAATTTATCGACCAAACCCCATTTTTTTTCAACCTCATCTAGTAATTCCATAAATTCTTCAAATTTTAAATAAACATCGGATTTTTCTAGGATTAAAGTCATTATAGTTTCACCTTCTTTATTTGTTTCTTTTCCTAAACCTTGAATTTCCTGTTTTATTGATTCACATTTATGAAGGAATTGATTTTGAGAAGAAGTAAAAGATAATGGATAACGAGTTTGGTAACGACGAAGTTTTGAGACGAATAAAAAAAATTCAGTGGCATCATTTATAAAATATCGATGTTTTGTTATTTGTTGAAGAAATTCAGGATATTGAATATAAGTTTCAATATGAATTTTAAGTTGTTTGTAAAGCTTTTTGAGTTGATTCCAATGGCATTGTTGAATTGAAGTTGGAGAGATTATAAATGACGTAGGTGAGTAAGATGTAGGTAAACGCATATTTTAGATTTTTTTTTTTTGAGAAGAAAAATAATTACAATATAAGTATTAACATATACATAGATATTTATATTTTATATATATATAATCACGCATGAATAATATTTATATTATTATTCACTTTAATTAGTTAACATTCACCTGGAAATATTGTTTTATCATAGAATAATATTAAAAATTACATATTTATACATATATAATATGTGAAACAGCGTACATACCTTCGTACATGTGTATTGGATCTACTTCCGTACGTAGTTAAACTATATACAGTAATTTCGGTTTACCCTTTAATGTTAAATCATAATTAATGTTGGAAATCTGATCAATTTAAATCTAAGAATTTTTTTAAGTTTGGTATTCTTATGAGAACACATGTGTTTTTTAAAACAGCTGTAATGAGCTTTATGTAAACCTTACATCATGAACTTCCAAGGGATTTTAGAAGCAGGATTATTATTTTAACGATTTTAAGAGAAAAGAGTAACAAATAAATATGATATGCGTAAATAAGTTTTAAACAATTGAAGGGTTCTCTTATCTATATTATACCATATTATATAATAAAATTTTAATCTCTATGTAACAATTTATCATTAACTTAATTATTCTAACTTTTTTTTTCAGTCATATTGTTATGCATTACGATTATTGTTATGCATACGTACCCATTTTTGATTCGTTAACAACATTACCGTATTTATCTATTTACTAACTTAATCCAAACCTAAATCTAATTCATCAATTCAATGAGTTTAACTTCTATAATATGGCTGCCGTCAATAGAAATCAAGCAGATTAAAAATTAATGCTTTAACTTTCGCTGCTCATATCTTGATGGATTTTGAAGCTAATCTCATTATTGAATAGTCAAAAGAAGGCTTAGGATATAGGCTTTCTTTTGACTACTCAATCATGAGAATAGCTTCGAAATTCATCAAGTTATGAGCAGCGAAAGTTAAAGCATTAATTTTAATCTGCTTGATTTCTATTGACGGCAGCACATGTAAATAAATACGCATATACAAGTATTAGGTTCATTATTCATTGAAATAATAATTAAAACAGTGTTTACAAAGCCTTCTTTAAAGATCAAGACTTACCTTAAATCTTTAGACTGTCCTCGGTTGACTATTTTCAACATATAGTACATATATACTAGGTAAATGCGTAACCATTATACTTATATATAAATGCCGCCGAAGGAATATGATACATACTTCGGGATTTCAATTATATTTTGCGCAATTCTTAATAAACTAGATAAATCATGTCCGATAAAATATAATTAAAAGTCAGAAGTCACATTTTTCCCTTGGCAGCATTCATATATTGGAGCTAAATATTTATAACTTAGTGTGCAATTATGTTATGATTTGATTGGTTGGTAGTCACGTACAAACAAATATTGCTAATTATTTATAATAGCAATGAATAACAATGTTCGTTTCAAAGTATATCAATTAATATAACATTCTTACGAGGCGAAAGATAGTCAAACCTTGTATTTTTTATTAGTGAAACATTACGTTTTCAAAAAGATTACCCAGGCAATTAATTTACATTACGTAATCAATCACACAAAGTTCAACAGTCTGCTAGTATATAGTTATACGTATAATTTATGAAATGAAAATCTTTTACTTATTTGTGCCGGAAATACAACCCAAAAAAGATGTTCGGCTAAAGCGTGCGAGTTTAGAGTTACCTTTTTGATGTAGTTAGGGTTAGTGGGTTATATAGAATATCAATAATGTAAGTTATGCAGTATGAAGATCATGTGGGGGCTCGTCAATAGAAAAGGCATAGATTAAACTAAATTTAATGCTTTTTTTTTTTTTAATTCTAATTCTATATAGTTATAAATAAAAATAAATGAAATTTATTAAATTTGATACAGTAGTTATTTAAGGTATTTTTAATCTAAAATTTAAAAAAAAGTTATTAAAATCTTTTTATGCCTTTTCTGTTGACGAGCCCCCCAAAAAAGGAAATTTGATTTTGTAAATAAACAAAGTGCGTAAATACAAATTTGGGGTTAGAACGTTAACATTAGAAGCTATACTATTGCCTATTGTATGTAAAATTTCGTTCCCGGTATTTTTAATTAGTGCAGCAAGGTCGATTTAAACACTAATTGTTGATTATTTTCGCCTTTTCTTCTTTTATTCGTGTTCGGAATTCATGTCGGGCTGATCCGGAACGATCAAAATTTGAACTCACTGATTGGCTATTTACTTTTTATTACCGGCACAAATAAGTAAAGCCGGAGTGAAATCAGAGAAAGAAAAGGTGTACTAATAGGTAGAAGTTTGTCTGATTGGCTAATAAATTCAATTTTACATTATTTCTACAGTTTAAAGTACTTTCTAAAGCAAAACTAAAACTAATCATAATGAAATAAAAAAAGCTGTTTAGAAGGTTTCATTAGAGCTGTAAGACTCCATAGCCAAAAATAAAATCTAATTCTCGCCGTTTAAAAAAATTAGCTTAGTAATAAGTTGATTTTATCGGGTTTTGAGAAGTCATTACTATACTAACCTTTTTAAGTTAGATCTTATTTTTGGCTATGGAGTCTACAGCTCTAATAAAACCTTCTATACAGCTTTTTTTAAAAAGTACTTTAGACTGTATAAATAATGTAAAATTAAATCGAATTTATTAGTGTATAGCTCCAGATCTAATATCCAATTGGTCGGCGTGATCTTGGTTGTCACTAGGGATGGTAAAAAAACATTTTTCACCGTTTTAAACATTTGATGTTTTATGGTTTGAATATGCGGAGTCTAAATTTAAAAGTATTCGGATCATGTTTTAAAACGGTGAAAAATGCTTTTTTACCATCCTAGTTGTCACATCTTGTTTATTTTTCACTTACTATTAAAATCACAAACCTACACACAGTCGAAGCCATTGCTGAAATTCTACTGTTGAAATCACGAACCCGCTTATTGTTTAAATGACGAATCTACCCATCGCTAAATTATGAATCCATCACTGTTAAAAGTATGAACGTATTACCAAATCATGATTCTGCCAACTATTTAAGTTATTGAGCTATTAGCAACCTATTACAAAAGTCAAGACCCATCATTTAATAAACCTACCCGACTTGAAGTTACTAAATCTACTAATCCATTTTTAAAATTCTAAAACACTCAATAATGAAATTATGAATCATTTTACTGTTAAAACCACTAACTCATTAATGCTAAAAATACTAACTGATACATAATGTTGAAATTTCTAACACATTTTAAAATTACTAACACATCTACTATTAAAATCACTAATTTTTTTTCCTTTAAGTAGTCATTTTAGTACTTTATTAAGATTTTTGAAATTACTTTTGCAATTACATAGATATACTTAACAACTAAGTTTATCATTACCTAGTTATTCTAATGGTACCTAAGTGCAATTTGTCATATTATTTCAAGCAGAAGAAAGCTGTTTGTTTAATTACTTAAAGTTCATAATAAGAGTTTTTATTTTTTTTATAACAAGTCTTAATATTGTTTTTCTAGTTTTTTCTTTAATTTCTTTTTATTTTTTTATTTGTTTCTTTCTTTCTTCTGCTTTTTGCTAAGTTGTTTACTTTTTATTTAAGTTTTTTCTTATTTTAGCTATTATTTTTTTTTTACTATTTGCTAATTTTTTTATGTTTTGTTTTTTATACTTGTTTATAAAATATATTTCAAGCTATTTTTTGTTACTATATTTATAAATTGTTATCTTAATTTTGTATTTAGAAGTTATATAAGTTTGTTTTGTTTTTTTTTAGAATTAAATCTTTAATTAGCATTTTTCTTATTTTTCTTTTATTTTTCTAAAAAGGATATATATAGCATATATAGAAAAATTTAAATTTTTTTTTTAAATTTTTTTATACAATTATTACAGTTACTTTTTAAATTTTTTTAAAAAATTTATTTGTTACTTGTATAATATTAGATATGTTTAGATTTTTTTTATATATATTTAGCATTTTGTTATTTTATATACTAATTTTTTTATTAAGTTTTTTCAAAATTAGAAGTTTTTTATTATATATTTATAATTAATTTTTTTTTATATTGTTTTTTTTTGTAATATAATGAATTTCTTTAGTCATCTTTATTTTTTTCTAAAAATAAATCTAATTATAAATTATAACATCTGTCTTTGGGTCTAATTCTATAATTATATTTGTCTCTTTTTATTTTATTTTTAGTTTAGTATTTGTTATTAGTTTATATAACAGCTTTACTAGTATATTAGTTTATTTGTTTTCTTACTTTAAGCAGTACTTTATTTCTTTATAACTAATTTTATTTATGTATACTATCTTTTTATATATTATTCTTTTTTTTTACAAGACTATTTTACTCTATTATCTCACTTGTTTCTACTATGATTTTTAATTTTAAAAGTTTTATCTTCTTATAAAAAAATATTATTAGATTAATAATATTCTATTATAAAACAGTAGTTAGAAATAACCTTCTGGTAGTAACTTGTTATTGCCTAATATGATAGATCACTTCTGAGTATTTTTAAAAGCAACTGAAAGAGTTGGAATTTGAAAATTAAGCTTGTATTATTGATCAAAATATTAATATTTTTCTTAATAAAAGCTATCAATATGATTATCTAAATAAAAAAAATTACAAAAAATATTTACTATCAAATTTATATATAATTTATAATACTCACTATCTTTAAACATATTTTTTAAAAAAATTTTTTTAATAACAGAATAGATTTTATTATTTGAGTTTTTAAAAAAATATTTTTTTGAATTTCTTAACCAATTTTATAGTAAAGTTGTTCTAAAATTAAATTTTAACTAAATATTTTAGTTTTATTTACAAAATTTTTATGTTAGAGTTTTATTCTTAGAACAACTTGCTATAAAATTTTTTAAAAAATTTGAAAAAATTTTTTTAAAAGCTTCAAATAATGAAATTTATTTTTTTATTAAAAAAGTTCTACTATAAATGAAAATTTCAAGTTATGTT